CTGTTTCTGTGTGTTTTAGACATCCAGTATCTGCAGTTCCTTCTTTTATTTTAGCCCCTTTTGTTTATCTTCACTGAATTGCATGTTGCATCATCCTCCCCACCTTCTGAATGAGGAAAAGTACTGGGAAACTGCCTGAGATAATTACTCTGCAAATGTCAACTCTTGGCCAACGAATTAAAAAAAATCTTCAAAGTATTTTGTTTCCTTAAAGGTAACTTGCATTTATTCACCATTCACAATAGTGTAAAGCCCCTATTGACTGACTCAAATAAACAGAAAAGTTGGCAAGTTTTACAAGCAAGAATGATTCTTTATCACTTTTAGAAATGTAGAAACAATACAACGAAAGTAAGCAAATTACAACATTTAAAAATAAATTATTCAGCAGGTCTTTCTCCAAAACTGCTTCATAATATTTTGTGCAGTTTTGAAAGACCTTTTTTTCCCATATAATAGTTAGGTAGGTTATGTGCAATTTTGATGCAAGTGATCTCCTCAGTGAAACATGCACCATGAGGATCATTCAAAAACAATTAATTTAAGAGCCCACTTCACTGAAGGATTCTGTACATTATTTATATTGCTGCAATTGACAATCAAAATTATTGTAGTAAATTATCAGTAAGGTTAAATTACTAATTTAATTAAGATATTTAAGCATTGTCCTTTGGTTGATATTATAAGGAGGGTTTCACTTACGAATCATTTAGAATATTGTCATAATAGGATACAGCTATTTGAGATGGAATTTCCTACAAAAGACTTGCCAAAATGAATATTATTACAAAAAACAATATTGCAAAAATAGGACATGCCAACCCCTTACCTGTTCCCTGATATTTCTGCAAAGTGACATATCAGAATCCGTCATCTCCTGGTTAAAATAATTTTTCTCTTTTAAATCTGTTCTCAAGGCAGTTCCTTTGATAAGGTACACGTGCGCTATGTAGGGAACGTTCCATATACCTCTACAAGGAACATCACAAGGAATGTAAATGTGTCATTACCTTTTTAACACAAATATCCTTAAAGTCAAACGTGCACACAGCAAAACAGTACGCATAAATTTAAAAAGTGGTCAAAATGTTCCATTACAAGAACTGTGTATATCTCGCTTAAAAAGGAAAATGCACACTCTAATACGTGTGTATGTCTGCAGTAGTTTAAACATTGGCTGGACCAGCAATTTTTGCCCATCCATACAAAGCACACCCTTGCTGTGAAGTGTACTGCATTATGAGTGGATACTCCCCGAAGATCGCTGGTGCCAAAATAAACTTGTAACGATAGCACTACCAGTGTGTTGCTCGGAAGCTCAGACACATTTTCTACCTGTTTATGTGTCAATATTAAACCATACAACTTTTCTTTAAACACAGAAATAAAGTTAATAAATCAGTAGGTCAGGCAGTATCTGTGGAGAGAGAAACAGAGAGTTAACATTGCAATCTGATCAAACAGTTACATATGACACGTGAATACAGAAGCAGGGAGAGGGAGAAGAAAAGAACAAAAAAGGGAAGGTATGTGATAGTGTGGACAGTAGGACAGTTTAAATAATAAACAGGGTGATAGAAAAAGCCAAGAGGAGATGGTTACAGCGTAAGTAAAGGAACAAATGATGTAAATGGGAAAGTAAAATCACTGCAACAATTTCCTCCTTCTGCTTTTGTTACATTGACACTACAGGAAACATGCAACTTCTGCTGAAATTTATTTGGCACTGGCTAAACCAGGCACAGACTGCTGAAATGGTAGTCCTGATAATGCATCCAACTAACACCATTAAACAAACACAAAAACGGGGAAAATGCCTGAGACAGGTCAGTTTATGATCAGAAATTTTTGAACTTGCTGTTGAGTCTGGAAGGCTGTAAAAGTGCCTGATTGGAAGATGAGGTGAAGTTCAACGGATTGAGGAGCTGCATATCACCCACAATTAGGCACTTCACAAATTCTGGGCTCAATACTGATTTCAACAATTCCGGATGGTAATCACTGCCCCTTTGTTTCTGTGCTTTTTGGTTGCAGTGACAGTTGTTGGCAATGATTCTGATTTTACCATTTACACCAGATGCTACATGACCTGCTGAGCATTTCCAGCATTTACTGCTTTGGTTCAGATTTCTAGCATTTGTAATACCTTCATTTTATGACAAAATCATTATCTTGCACTACATGGTGGTGAGAAAAATACAGCATCATAAAAGTTGGAACAGTTTTGAAATTGTGCTTTACTTGGGAGAAGAAACAAACATTTTCCTAAATGTGTCATGTGGATTGAGTATCAATGTGTACTGAGGATTCACACACTCAATGATTTAGTTGTGCTGCCTCATTGGCAGACTGCCTGTAGAGGGGAGGTGAAGGTCTAATGATATTATCACCGGACTTTGAATCCAGAGGCTCAGGAAATGTTCTGGGCACTCAGATTAGAATTCTGCCATGGTAGAAATTCATGAAAATTGTGTAACCACAGTCAGAAAAAACCCATTTGGTTCACTAATGTCCTTTTGGGAAGGAAACTGCCATCCTTAACTGATCAGACCTACTTATGACTCCAGACCCACAGTAATGTGGTTGACTCTTAACTGCCCTCTAGGCAATTAGGGATGGGCAATAAATGCTGGCCTGGCCAGCCCATATCCTGTGAAGGAATAAGAAAAGTTCCAGGCCTGACCACCAATCCTGGTGTTATTGAGATTAAACAGCCGCTGGCCATTACTTCTGTATGGCTAGATGGTTTTTTTTTATATTGTTCATTCATGGGAATGAGGGCATCACTGGCTAGGCCGAACATTTACCATCATCTTCCCTACTGCTGAGACAGTTGGAGAATTTCTCATTTTGAAACACTTAACAGCATTAACATCCAACAAGGCAATCATCAGGATCATGGGCAGATTAACCAGCCCCTGCACCCATCCCAGAAAAATTCGCTCTTATGCTTTATTTATATTTTTCCACTTTCTAGATCAACAGCCAATCATGATTAACACTACAGACAATTCTTAGGGGGTTTGGTCAGTTCCGTTGGATGGACAACTGGTTTATAATGCTGTGAAACTAACAGTATGGGTTCAATTCCTGTACTAGTGGAGGTTACCATGAAGGACTCCTCTTCTCAACCTTTCTCTCACTTTGAGGTGTGGCAACCCTCAGATTAAACCACCACCAGCTGTCTCTCTATAATGATAGAGCGGCCCTATGGCCCGCTGGTGATTTTATCTTTAGACAATTCTTAGTACAGAATAGCAGTGAATAAAACTCACACTCTATTTCCTTCGACAATATCAACATAATCCTCAGAGCGTGCATAATAACCATCAGGACTCAGAGCACCCCAAAAGTTGGACCACAGTTTTTTATACTGGGTGATCACTGGTGCAATTATCCTCCTGTTGGGCAAGAAACAAGTAACGACTCAGCAAAACAAAAATTACTTTGCAATGAACTTAATGACAAGATGTTGGCAAGTGTCAAATTTAAGAAATTAACTTTTTTTTCTTGCAGATTTATTTATTCTCCTTGTGAACAAAAAAGCTTTATGTACTATTTTAACTACCTTGTGTCAAAATAAATCCACAGAAATTCTCTTAAGATATTGGTTAGAAAGCCAAGATTGGCAGAAGAAACAGCAAAACTATGGGCTGAATCTCAAGGTCAGTGGTGAGGTGAAGGCACATACTACTGACTGTGTTTCAAACCGAGTCTTTCCCAAGCCTGCATATGGGTATGATGATATGATGCATAGGAAAGGCAAGGTATGTGTCAGCGAAATCAGTGAGGAACATACTTTCAGCTCAATGACAAGTTAGTGATTTCAATGATTTTGTAACTTTGTGCCTTTAAGAGAGAGTTGTTCTGTCCTGTTCCTCTTGAAGAGGGGTGTTGTAAACATGGTGCAGAGGTGTCTGCTCCATGGAAATCAGAGTCAATAGCTTTGGGACTTTTTTTAAATAGGCAAAAGAGGCATGAGTGGTTGAAGTCAAGCTCACACAGACCCAAGGTTTTAGTTTTTGCTTTCTGTTGATGAAGTTGGGGTTTTGGCATTGAAGCTGCTAGATACAGCTCTCTCTGCTGCTGCAAAAAAGCTTGAGGTCTCTCTCTCTCTGCTGCTAGATTCATTCTGTCAGTCTTCCTTCTCCTGGACTGGAGGAAGTCGCAAGTGAGGGAAACCTGTTTTGCTGAATTTGCCTTTGCCATGGGTGTGTTTATGGGACACCGCTATATTAGAACAGTCAGTGAGTAGAAGTTAAATAATATATTATTGCATTAAGTATTTTGGTAGAGTTAAAATTATGCTAATTTTTGTTGTGTTTGCATTTTAATTGTTGTGTAAGAATAAAATCTGTTTTGCTCAAAGCTTTGTAGTTTGACCGAATGAATCACATCTGGAATGCAGTGCCTTACACTTGCCTTTAAATAAGATAGCCTGGACCCAAACTTCTCTCTCTTTGTTTTGTTTTGAGGGGTTTGGACTGGTCCATAACAACTTGAACTGATTTCTTTAATGGATCTCTAACTCTAATTTTAATTTTAAATCCCTGTACACCACCCTGTGCTAACCCTCCATTCTGGTTCCGGTTCCCAGCTTCAACCCCACACTCCCGCTCTGCTTACTCCATATTCTGAGCTCTCCTACTTCTTCCCAGATATCAGGAGCCCTATCATAAGACTATAAGATAACGCAACAGAATTAGGCCATTCAGCCTACTGAATCTAATCCACCATTTGATTATAGCTGATATCACTATCTTCAATTCTGCCTCGGAACTAAATCACCATTCCTTTGCTGTCACTGGGTCAAACGCCCATCCTAACAGGACCATGGGGGGGACCTTACACCTCAAAGGATGTAGTGATTTAAGAAGGCAGCTCATCCCCACCTTCCCCAGGGAATTCAGCAATACTCACATCCCATGAACGATTGTTAAAATAAAACTCCTGCTATTTAATTGAAAACAACTCTGAGATTCAGCGTATTCCCAAAGCTGAGGGAGCAAAGGAGAGGGGAGAAGGAGCTGGGAAGTAATGGGAATGAACAGGGATCAGGGCAGAGTCAGGAAGCAGATTTCCAGAAGGCAATTGATAAAGTGTCACATCAAAAGTTATTTCAGAAAATACAAGCTTATGGTTTAGGGGATAACACAGTAACATGGATAGAAGATTGGTTAGCTGGCTGGCTGGCAGAAAACAGAGCGTGAATAAATGGATCTTTATCCACTTGGTAGGATGTGATGAGTGGGATTCATAGTCAACATTAAGACGGGTTTGAAAATATGTTGTGAAAAGGACGTAAGGAGTTTGCAAGATACACATCAGAAAGTGATTGTACTCCATCTACCAGATTTTTGTCCAATGTGAGAAAATATGAAGTTGTTCACTTTGGCAGGAAGAATGAAAAAGCAGAGCATTACTTAAATAGCGAATAACTGTAGAATTCCAAGGTACTGAGGAATCTAGCTGTTCTAGTGCATGAGTCACAAAAAGTTAGTTTGTGGATGCAGCATTTGATGGGATGCTGTTCTACACTACAAGAGGAAATGAATGCAAAATCAAAGATGCTATGCCTCACTTATACAGGGCACTGGGGAGGCCATATTGTAAATACTCTATTTAATTTTGGTTTCCTTGTTTAAGGAAGCTTGAAAATACATTGGAGATGGTAAAAGGAGGTCTACCAAGCTAATACCTGCAAATAAATGGGTTGGCTTATGAGGATAGGAGGGGTTGCCTCTGAAGTTGGTGATGATGGGCTCACTAAATATTTTAAAAAGTGAAATTAGATAAAGTCTTGTTGGCAAGGCAATCAAAGATTGCAGAGGGTAGATGGGAATGTGAAATTCAAAATGCACACTGATCAGATGTGACCTTTTTGAATGGCAGAACAAGCTTAAAGGGCCAAATGGCCTATGTCTGCTCCTTTGTTGAGCATATGGTGGGCAGAATCAGGAGATTGAGGGTGAGTAACAGCAGTTGAGGTCCGAGATTGTTTTGACACACCTACTGGGTCAGTGGTAACACTTCCAATGGAGTCCAACGATCATGGGTTCAAGTCCCATTCAAAAGACTTGAGCACTTCAGCTAAGGTGGTTCTTAGGTACAGTAATGAGTGAGTGTCATAGAGTTGGAGGAGTACCTTTTGTGTGAGATTCTAAACTGACACTCTATCTGCTTAAAGGCTCTCGACAAATGTGTAAGATTTGTTTTGATTTGATTTATTACTGTCACATGTACCTAGGTACAGTGAAAAGTTTTGTTTTGCATGCAGTACGGGCAGATCATACCATACAAAGGGTGATTTAGCAGAGTGAGGAATACAATGTTACGGCTGCAAGAAAGGTGCACAAAAAGCAGGATCAGCATTCGAAATTTGAGAGGTCCATTCAGAAATCTAATACCTCTGGGGAGGAAACTGTTCTTGAACCTGTTTGTACGCGCGTTTAAGCTTTTGTATATTTTACAAGATCCCAGGGCCCTAGTTGAAGACTTGCAAGGCTATTCTCCAATGTCCTTGCCTGGATTTATCCATCAGCTAAAATATCACTAAAACGGTTTTCCCTGGTTATTTAGCTCTGCTGACTGTGGGTGCTTTCTATGCACTAATTGCAACATCTGGATATCAGGAAAGTTAATAAATAATTTAAGGATTTCCACGTTTCTTAACGAACCTCTTCACCTTCAAACTTAAGGCCCTCCATAAAATGCACACCACTGACCAAGATTATGTCCCTTCCTCTTAATTTTTCCTTGGTTTCCCTGTGTCTGTTGTGAAGCAACATGGGGCTTATTATTACACCAAATGTGATATATAGAACATAGAACATAGCACAGTACAGAACAGTACGGACCATTTGGCCCATGATGTAGTGCTGAACTTTTACCCCAATCCTAAGGCCTATCTAACCTCCACCCCTACCTTATACTATCATCCATATGCCTATCTAATAGCCGCTTAAATGCCCCTAATGAGGCCGACTCCACTACCCTCTCCGGCAACGCATTCCACGCCTGACCACTCTCTGAGAAAAGAACCTACCTCTGACGTCTCCCCTATATCTTCCTCCATTCACTTTAAAACTATGCCCCCTCATAATAGCTACCTCCACCCTAGGAAAAATTCTCAGGTTGTCCACTCTATCTATACCTCTGATCATTTTGTATACCTCTATTAAGTCACCTCTCATCCTTCGTCATTCTAAAGAGAAAAGCCCTAGCTCTCTCAACCTTTCCTCGTAAGACCTTCCCTCCATTCCAGGCAACATCCTGGTAAATCTCCTCTGCACTTTTTCCAATGCCTCCACATCTTTCCTGCAATGAGATGACCAGAACTGGACACAATACTCCAGATGTGGCCGAACCATGCTTTTGTATAGCTGGAGCATAACTTCACGGCTCTTGAACTCAATCACTCTATTAATGAAAGCTAACACGCCATACGCTTTCTTAACAACCCTATCCACCTGGGTGGCAGCTTTCAGGGAACTGTGAACATGAACCCCAAGATCCCTCTGCTCCTCCACACTGCCAAGAATCTTTCCGTTAACCCTGTATTCTGCTTTCAAGTTTGTCCTTCCAAAATGAATCACCTCACACTTTTCAGGGTTAAACTCCATCTGCCACTTCTCAGCCCAGCTCTGCATCCTACCAATGTCCCTTTGTAACCTAGATTGTAACCTAGATTTATATTGATACATATAAATGTATCTTCCATTGGAACATTAATGCATTGGTAAGCTTGCATGATCTCCACATGTTGAATGGCTGTAAGTGACTCTATGACCTTTTATTCTCAACTTGGATATGACTTATGGACCAAAAGAAGTGAATTAATGGAATCTGCATCCATTCCTTATTTGGTTCCATAATATGATAGATACATGCATCAAATTACTCACCAACTTTGGTAGAATGACCACTTATACTTTACAGAAATCCTGACAGCATTGAATGAGTGACTAATTCAAAACAGCCTACGTACAAGGCAATATAGTGCGTCCCATTCAAGATCCCAATACTCAGCTTGTAATTTTATGACTGCTTTTAAATACAAGTTTATTGTACGTCAAGTGGTGCACATTAAATCAATGCTTAAACGCCAAGTTGATCTCCTTAAGCTTTTTTCAAATGTTCATTGCATTTTAGTGAAGCGATTAGTTTAATTAAAAGACACATCTCTTATCTCGTGTGTACAACTGCGATTTAATGCATTCCCTACTCAATCTGCAATCACACCTATTGCTGTGCCCTGATTGTGATCCACTTAATTATCCAGAGGTTGGCACTTCAGACCGATGGAGCTGCCAGGAAAGGGCTACACATTTGACTAAGTCGAGCCAAACTGGTAATAGCTTTCCGCAGTTCAGACATCTGGGGAGCATCCACTGAAGCACTGACTTTTAATTAATTCAACAAAGCTACAACAGAAGCAAGTGGAATCCAAAGTGCTTGGTCTCCACAGGGTGGAGCAGGAAGATATGTTTTAAATGGACAAGTAACATTGGGCAGAAGATTTCTGCAGACAGAGTGTGCAATGAACAGAAAATAGTTCCATTAGATTTTCTTGCTTCTTTGATCAGGATGATAAAAATGTTTGCACAAGTTAAATTGCGTTTAAAATAAAACTAGATCTTTCTCCCCCAAAATATTTGGAAAAAGTAAACAGTCATAGGTTATGTAAACATGTATAAATAATCTGGAAAGTGAGCCATCAGAAAGGGGAATTGACAAAATGAAATGGAAGTTTGTTTCGAAAGAACTTTCTAGAACAGGCAACTATTTGAATCCAGGGAGAACATAGGAACAAGAGTAGGCCATTCAGCCCCACAAATCTGTTCTGCTGTTCTACATAGCCCAATCATCTTTATCCATATTAATTCCCCACTCTTTGATACCCTCACTAGGAAAACCAACTGACTTCCACCTTGATATGACCCTGTCTTGGGTGGCTCAGTAGTTAGCACTGCTGCGTCACAGTGCTAGAGACCCAAGCTCAATTCCAGCCTCAGGCAACTGACTGTGTGGAGTTTGCATGTTTTCCCCATGTCTGTTCAGGTTTCGTCTGGGTGCTCTGAGTTTCCTCCCACAGTCCAAAGATGTGCAGGTTAGGTGGATTGGCCATGATTGCCCAGAGTGTCCAGGGATGTGTAGGTTAGATAGATTGGGAAATGCAGGGTTACAGGGATAGGGTAGGGGGTGACTCTGGGTGGGACGTTCTTCTGGGAGTCCGTGTGGTCTTGTTGGGCCAAATGGCCTGTTTCCACACTGTAGGGATTCTAGGATTTCAGTATCCAGATCTTTTCATGGGCTCAGTTTTCCACTCCCCATTTTGTGAAAAACGTTTCCTCATTTCACTTCTTCATGTCCTACGTTCTACACTACCTTCCTCTAGGTTCCCAATGAGAAAATAGCTTCTTGCTTTCATAAATACTGAAACCTTTACCTTTTAAACAGCTCCGTTACATCATCCATCAACAATGTCAACCGAAATCCCTTTGTTCTTCCACTACTGGCAGTCTCTTACCAGTAAGCAAATGTTTTGATTTATCTTTCTAATACAAAGTGAATGATCTCCCACTTCACCACAATGGGGATTTCATCGCCCATCGCTTCTCCAACTTATCCCATTCCCAACCTAGTTTGCGAATATCATTTTGTAACTTGCTGCTGCCTCCTAATTTTGTGTAATCTGCAAACTCAGTCGAGAATATATTTCCTATACATAGCGAAATGCTGGGGGACACCAACATCTTGATGAGTTGAGAAAGCAGCTCACAATGAATAAAGATCTCTGGGTTTTAATATTAGAGGTTAAGAGCACAATAAGAGGAAAGTTATGGTAAGCGTGCTTAAAACACGGGTCAGAATGTTAAGCCATGGGGCGGGGGGATTGTGCGGCTCACCCCTTGATGGAAGGTAAATCAATGGCCAACCGAGAAATTCAGAATAAGCTCAATCTGGTGGTGGATCAGGATCTGGAGTAGTTCCCTGGAATTGTGGTGAAGGAAGATACAACTGAGACCTATAGAATGATATGAAGATAAAAATTTGCAAGGCTACGAGTGACATGATTTCTTGCGTAAAACACTACTGCTAGTATGGTATGGTCTGGGTATTCTTTATATGGTAGCTCTTGTATCATATACCACAAAGACTGAGTTCTTGCTGAGACACATCTCTTGAAGTTCGCTACCACTATTTACAATGCTGTTAAGATCTCTGTTTTACATATAGTCTGGGTTCTGTGCTTATTGCTGTTACTGTGACTACTGTTTCAACAATATTAGTAATAAAGGCCACCAATTGTGAGAAGCATATCCTTATTCTGGAATGTCACATTGCAATATCATCTAACGGTCTTAATGGTACAGTGGCTATCTAGTCTGGAATCTTTGCAATAATACAATGACAAGGAAATGGGGAATTGGCAAGTTGTTCTTGCTTAGACCTGGTATAGGTACATCAGACCAATTGATCTCCTTCTGGATTGCAACCAGTTTATGATTTGACTTCTTGTCCACAATTTCTCTCATGACAAATTCAGCCTGATACTACTGCTCCCATCATCTAAAATGGAAAATCTGGCCTTGGAGTCCTCAGACCCAGGTCTTCATATTTAAACAGCTTGCTGAATGTTGATCAAAAATTAGAACATGGTTAATATTGAGACACAATTCCTTAGCTTCAGGAGGCTAAGGAAATTTGGCATGTCCATAAAGACTGACAATTTTTTTATAGATGCACCATAGAAAGCATCCTATCTGGATACAGCACAGCATGGCATGGCAATTGCTCTTCCCAAGACCGAAAGAAACTACAGAGAGTTGTGAACATAGTCCAGTCCATCACGTAAACCAGCTCCTATTCATTGAATTCATCATTCCTGCTATATCAGAAAAGCAGCCAACATAAAGACACCACCGACAACATCCCCCCCCCCCCCCCCCCCCACCCCAAACCACCTTGGTTATACTCTCTTTCATCCTCCTCCATTGGGCAAAACATATTAAAGTTTGTACAAATGTAAGAACAGATTCAAGAACAGCTTCTTCCCTGTTTTTGTCAGACTTTTGAATGGACCTCTTTAATGTTAATGTTGATCTTTCTTTGCACCTTCTCAGTAACTGTAACACTGTATCCTGCACTCTGTTCCGTTACCCTGATGTACAGTAAAGTATGTAAAACAACACTTTTCACTGTACCTCGGTACACAATACAGTAATAAATCAAACCAAATAAAATCAATATCAGTGAACTGGTTTCATGAGGTAGCCTTTATACACATCCTGGCAGGAGTTGGGAGTAGGCAGAGACATTGAGCAAGTTACAATCAGCTTCTCCACGTTCGATCAAACTTCGCTAATTACTGACTACATTTTTTCTGTAAACAGGGATTTTATCACTACATGATTAACCACTGACACCTTTGGGAGCATTTTTGACTCAACCATTCCAGGTTTAGAACCATAACTTTATGGAATTGCCTGCAAAGAAGTGAAGACTTTGTAAAGTTCGGATTGTGAGTACATTGCCCTGTTTTTATTCAGGTTTAAGAACAGGAGAAACATGTACGGTTGACGGACTGAATCATAGAGTCATACAGCACAGAGAGGCCCTTCAACCCATCGAGTCCATGCTGACCTATCCGCACTAGTCTCACTTTCCAGCACTTGGCCCACAGTCTAGAATGTTACAACATTTGAAGAGTTCATCCACATAATTTTTAAAAGGTTGTAAAATCAATTTCAATCAGCACAAAGTTGTAAATTAATCTGTTACCTGTTTTGCTCAATTAATATTTTCAGCGTATCTGCGTTCGTCAAAACAACATCAGAATCAAGATTGAAGTAATAATCACACTCTGGATCCTGGCGACAGTAATCCCTATATTAAGAAAAAGAAAGAGGACAATAAGCAATGGTAAAATTAAACTTCCCTCAAATCCGCAGTGCTGACCTACTCAAAATCCCTGTCTTTAGTAATAAAAATAATCACAAAGTTCCGTTTTTCCATGAGGATTTGCTAAAGACATTATGTTTATATTTCCAGAATTAAAAATAGAAAAAAAATTATAAACTTCCAACAAAAACTTTTAAATAAAATTCGCTCTTCCGATGCCTTTGTGCTTCCTTTTTTGAAAAGGGTGAACATTTTTATAACAGGTCAGTCGGTCAGCTCTCAATCAGGCCAGCTGCCTGATGGGAAACTGGCTTGAAATTTTAAATATTTATAATAGAATATTAAAATAGAAATATTAAAATTGACAATCATTACGCTCCCAATCTTTCAGAGTTTCTGAGCCACTGAAGGCACCCCTGCATCCTAACCCCCGTCAAAACCAAAGCCAAAGGTTAGCTTTAATTTTGCACAATTTCAATGTGTTGTCTCTGCACTGTTGTGGAGAAGACCAAACAGCTCATGACAATCTTGCATGATCTTAAATCATAAGAATGTAAAACCTAGGGATCAGGATTAGGCCATTCAGCCCCATGAGCCTGCTTCGCAATTTAATACGATCATGGCTGATCTCATCTCGGACTCACTTCCACTTTCCTACCTGCCCTCCATAACTCTTCAATTCATTACTCATCAAATATCTGTCTATCTCCTCCTTAAGTTTATTCAGTATCCACCGTACTTTGGGGAAGTGAATTCCACAGATTAATAATTCTTAGAGAGAAGTAATTCCTCCTCATTTCTGCTTTAACTTTGCTAACCCTTATCCTAAAACTATGATCTTGTCCCTTTAAAACTCTGGTGATCCACACTGGCAAAAAAACAGATCTGCATCCTCACCTCACTATCAACATCCTGGGAATTGCCATTGACCAGAGACTGAACTGGATGAGTCATATCAATACTGTGGCTACAACAGAAGTTCAGTGGCTAGGAATTCTGTAGCGAGTGACTCACTCCAACTCCCCAAAGCCTACCCACCATCTACAGGGCACAAGTCAAGAGTGTGATGGAATACTCCTCCCTTGCCTGGATGGGTGCAGCTCCAATAACACTCAAGAAGCTTGACACCATCCAGGACAAAGGCACCTGCTTGATTGGTACCACATCCACAAGCATTCATTCCCTCTACAGCTCAGTAGAAGCAGTGTGTACTATCTACAAGGTGCACTGTAGAAATTCACCAACGCCCCTTAGACAGCACCTTCCAAACCCACAATAACTTCTAACCAGAAGGACAAGGGCAGCAAATACATGGGAACAATACCCCCTGCAAGTTCTCCTCCAAGCCACTCACCATCCTGACTTGGAAATGTAACACCGTTCCTTCAGTGTCACTGGGTCGAAGTCCTGGAATGCCCTTCCTAATGGCATTGGGGGTTTACCTACAGCTGTTCAAGAAGGCAGCCCACCACCACCTCAAGGAGTAACCAGAGATGGGTATTAAATGTTGGCCTCAACCAGTGGCGCCTGCATCCCAGGAGTAAATAAAAAAAAAATTCCCTTCTAGGCAGTAGCAGCCAATCTAATGGTGTCATAGGAACATAGGAAATGGGGGCAGAATTAGACCATTTGGCCCTTCTAACTTAAGTCCATTGAACTAAGTCATGGCTGTTCTTCTGCCTTAACTTTGTCTTCCTCATTTATCAGCAGTACACAGTTTAATCTTTTAAAATTAAAACAAAATGATAATTTTCCACGTATAGTTTAAAAAATGATTACAGGAGAAAGATATCAAATTAAGATCAAGTGTATAAAGCGTAGCAGGCGGCCATTTGGCCCATTGTGCTTGGACTGGCTCGTTAAATGATCAGCCAAAAAGTATAAAAAGGGTCTTGCAGAGCTCTTTTTATACTCCATTTCCTTTGAAATGTAGGCTACAATTCCATTTGTCTTCCTTATTAACCACTGAACTTGGATGTTAGCTTTTTGTGATTAACAGACGAAGACTCCCAAACTCCTCTGTTCTGTAGCTTTCTGGACTCTTTCTTTGTTCTTCCAACCAACTGCCAAGTTTATGCCCACATCCCTCTGCAGACTGTGTGTGTTTGGTTGCTGTCTCTGGGAAGCTAGTGGTCATCGTGTCATCGTTCCCTCCCATTCTGAGGAAGATACTCCACTGTCTTCAGCTGCCATAGAAACAGACCCTTCGGTCCAACTCATCCATGCTAACCCTGTGTCCTAGTTCAGCTCCTGAAGGCTATTTAAACACCGGCCTATCAGTTGTACTGAACATTTGCAGTGATAAGTTATTGGTTGCAGCAAACAAATGAATGACACTGACTCATCACCAGTCCAGTTCAGCCATGGTGACAGCATTGGAAAGCAGAAACTCACATTCCCATGTTCCTGGCATCTCCTTCACTCAGGATCTCCTCAGGACCCACAAACTTCGCTTCGAGTTCACCTTTGTGTTTCTCCCAGAACTTGTGTATATGTCTCTCATGGTAAACCTCCTACAGAAGGGTTTAAAGAAACAGAATTAATGACCCACGTTTGCTAGTCAAGGGTGAACAAATGGTGCTATTAATGCTTCGGGCTGCACTCCTGCTATCAACCAAAATGAGCAACAAATTAAAGCTCATTAGTAAGTTACCCCTGCATGATGCCCTCGCCTGGGTGAATAAGGCAAACCACTAATCAGAATGAAGAATCTGCATTGTCCATGGAGTTTTAACCGGGCTTGTGGAGGTGGGTCTGGAGTTGGTGAGGAGAAACATTTGGAACAAGATGTTGGACAGGAATATTGACATGTTCTGTCCCTGCGCCCTTTGCCCGAGGTGGTTTCTGTGTTCTGATGCTAACGTATCTGGGAAAAGCCACTTGAGGTGGTTAATTTTATCCAGAATTAAGACTCTAATAATGACCATGAAACACCCATCTAGTTCACTAACATCCTTTAGGGAAAGAAAGTGCCATCCTTACCTGGTCTGGCCTACATGTGACTCCAGACCCATAGCAAGTTGTTGACACTCAACTGCCCTTTGGGCAAGTAGGGATGGGAAATAAATGCTGGCCTAGCCAACAATTCACACATTTCCCAAATCAACAGAGAAAAATTAAACAACTAGCAGGAATTGTGTGTGCGTGCAATGAAATGTTACCTGTGGAGCATGGGATCCATTCCCTCTCCAGGTGTCTGTACTTTATCAACTCATAGGGAGGAGAGTGCCTGAAATAACTGCACAGAGGCTGGTATCCCATCACCAAGTCACCCTTTATTTACATATGCACAGTACATCAGCTCTGACCAGCCAGCTTTAAGCCAGTCCCTAGAGTGAGGAGAATCCCTAAATCTCCTGTTTATATCTGTCAGCCAGGGCTCCCTGATTGGCCCAGGTTAACAGCCCCAATCAAGGAGCTCATAGTCAATGAGATCCACCTGGCCCTCATTCTAATGCAGTACAGTGCCCAACAGATGTTTCAGGAGCAACATGCAACATGCAATCTGCAGCTTAAAGGACACGATTGGGTTAGCCTGAGATCATCTGCAATCACAGTGATCACCTCCCACAGATGCATGTTGCTGGTGGTCAGCAAGGTGTTGACATTTCCTTCAACCCGTGTAGGGCTTCCATTCTGACGCTCCCTCTCTTGTCCCATTCGTTAAAGCTGCACTGTCACTGTAGTGAATGAAGGCTGCCCATGTAGTCCTCACTTAGAGTCTACTCCCCTACCCTACCCTACCGCAATCAACCTTCTCAAGCTGCCCATCACCATGAACTCAGTGATCACTCAGTCGCATCCTGTGACTGGAAAGCTGCCAGAAGGTTGGACATTGCTGCAGCTACTATGGTAATTGGGTTATTAAACCCAAAATAGATTTCTGTCCAGAGATAGTGCGAGCAAATGAGAAGATGCAGTCCACAAAGTTAAAGCATGGAAGTGCCAGTTAGAATGTTTAATTCATTGTAAAATCATGTACACGGTGTCCTGCATTTACAAACTGTCATACCTACAAACGTAATCCCGTACAGCGGTGGAATTTTAAATACCTGACATATAAACATTTCCTGTATTTACAAACAGCTGTTTTATTTTGTCCTGCACTGTGTTCTGACTTGTGGGTACATGACTTGTGAACAAGTCCAGAATGGAACTCATTCGCATCCCAGTGGCTTTTGGTACAGATAGTTCTTCCCACTGTCATGTGTGGGAATGGCCATTCATAATTGTGAGGTACACATACAGCAAAGCTTGCGAAGGAACAGAGCAAATTATAGACAACGGCTGTATGGTTTCTGTTTTATTATGCATTTGTGGATTTTGGAATTGTTGCCAATTTACTCCATAATGTTGGTAGGTAATCTATGTCATTTTTACTGCAAAATCTGCCCAATGTTTAAACCAGAACCAGAACTATGCACCAAACACAGACAAAAAATATTACCAAGGGTAGAAAGCCAACTTTCATATTTTTACCCTAACATTTTTTTTCCAAAGAACAGCTGGATTATGAGGTTCTTGCAACTGTCATTCCCACTTCATCTACACTAGGCAGTTAACAGTATCAGGGAATTGCAAACTCATTAATGGATCACTCACTTTATTGTGAATAAAGAATTTAAGCTTCTCCCTTGGATAATTGATGGTTAGAAGTCTTTCCAAAAACTCTGGAAGAAAAGGTGTTGGCTGTTCAATGAATATGCCGACAGTCACTCTGGGATATTCCTAAATAAGAAGAACATTGAGTCAGATTAATTATTATCACATTACTGTAACCAATTGTAAGTTAAATTCAAGATGTTCAAACAGACATTAATCAAATTACTTTCAATGACAATGTCACAGAGGGATTTTTAACTTTGTTAAACGCTTAATCAAACAGATATCATTCAAAATAAAAACTGAAAGAACTGTGGATGCTATAAATCAGGAACAAAAACAGAAGTTGCTGGAAAAGCTCAGCAGGTCTGACAGCATCTGTGAAGAAAAAAATCAGAGTTAACGTTTCGGGTCCAGTAACCCTTCCTCAGAACATATTGAACTTTGCGTATTGTGAAATAGAGTGAATTGCTTAAAAGGCAGTGAAATTTTCCACTGATATATATGGGAATTGTTGATGAAATTGACAATGTTGTTCCTTGCTCAGTACAGCCGTCCACTGAATACAAGCATTTCAAGTTTACAAGAATTGTTCCAGGAATGAGAGACTAGTCATGAGAATAGACTGAAGAAGTTGAGGCGGTTTTTCTTGGAAAAGTAGTGGCTGACAGGATTTTGAAAACCACTATCAAATCTTATGCGTGGGCTGGACAGAGTTGATGGGGAGAAGCTTTTCAGGCTCATGAAAGAAGAAAAAAGGACAAGCGGGAATACATTTAAAGTGATGTGCAAATGAAGCAAGGGTGATGCGAGTACAAAATGTTTTCACACAGTGCATATAGTTAGGGCATGGAATGCACTGCCTGGAAATATAGAGGAGGCAGGTTCAACTCAGGTATTCAATGAATGACTATTTGGTTAGAAATAGTGTACAGAGAACAGGCAGGAGATTAACAAGAGAATAGAACCAGGGCAGGTATAATGGGCCAAATGACCTCCTCTGCTCTGTAATAGTTCTGTGGTCTCAAAATAATTCATACCACAATAGGTAATAAACTGCTGTGATGAGACTGGACAGGAGCAAAGGATACACCTGTTTTTGCATCTGCTCAGGTCACCTGCTCACTAGACATTAAATCCGCCACTGAAGGGATGTGAGATGGGAGTTCATAAAGGTGGAACAGACTTACGAAGTTCCAATTGTTCATTAACCAGTTTGCTCCACAATCACACCTGGATCAAATAATTTGCACATGTTTATAATCTCATAAAAACCTCTAATACAAGTAAAATACTGGTTGAGAGCCACAGACATGTAAAACCATGACTAGGACTAAACATCCTTCACTTTTTCAGGTCAACAACTAGGGATTGGCAATAAACGTAGCCTTGCCACTCATCACTGAAACCACAAAGAAAATAAGATCACAACAATGTCACAACTGCACAGAGCAACACTGTGAAAATGCAACGGGAACTTTCAAATAAAATTAAAGAACGAACATGCCTAGAAATGTTCTCAACAGCGGGGGAAAGATAGATCCTGTTCTAGGTAAAGTTGCCTTAGCCCAAGAGGAGCATAGAGCTGGTCTCTCATTAGAGAGAAAGATGACTGGTGGTGGTTTAACCTGAGGGTCACAGTGCCTCAGGTGAGGGATGAGGTTGAGAAGGAAAGTTCTTCATGGTAACATCAGCCAGTGTGCGAACTGAACCCACACTATTGGTGCCACCCTGCATTGCAAACCAGCTGTCTAGCCAACTGGCTCCACATTAATAATACAATGATTGAATCAGGATTCAAATAGCCTAGAATTTACTTACATCCCGTTCATGAATTGTAGGTCAACCTGCAACACCCTGGAGCCCTCCTTCTTTGTTTTGTGACACCTCAGGGAAATGCTCCTCAAAAGTTTCAATACATCACTGGCAAAGCTTGATTTTGGGCATATTTTGATTTGGTAATCAGCCCTCCTGCCAGGAAACCACACTGATCTTATAAACACATTGAAACAGGGGTTGGAAGTTACCACTAGAATCCAAGAAGATTTTGGTGTGAATCAGCGCTACCTCTGCAACTTAATCGTAGGATCCCTACAGTGTGGAAGCTAGCCATTCAGTCTATCAAGTCCATGCTGACCCTCCAAAGAGCATCCTATCCAGACCCCTACCCTTTCCCTGTAACCCCACATTTCCCGTGGCTAACCCAGCTAGCCTGCTCACCCTTGGACACTGTGGGGCAATTTCCCATGGTCAATCCGCCTAGCCTGCACATCTTTGGGCTGTGGGAGGAAACCGGAGCATCCGGAGGAAACGCACGCAGACATGGGGAGAACGTGGAAACTCCACACAGACAGTCTCCCAAGGGTGGAATCGAACCCAGGTCCCTGGCGCTGAGACAGTAGTGCTAACCGCTGGGCCACTGTGCCACCCATGCTCATTATGAGGAGGTGACAGTTTGCAGAACTCTCTAGTTGGCATCATAAGCTGGTGTCAGGTAAAGCTGGAAGGGTTCAGTTAGTTTGGGTGATGAAGAGAGAATGCAGCAGAACACCAACAGACAGGTTCAACTGTTGCCCCTGTAGAGCTGGATCTTGGGTCTACCAGCCCCTCTTGACTTATTCCATAATGATATCAAGGCAGGGGCTTGATTAGCAAACCCTTGGTGAGCTGCAGCAGATAAACACTGCATACTGGTCACCTGGTGCAGCTGCCAAGGCATCTGGGTCCACCTCAGTTCTGGGATGATGGGCAGGAGAATCATGTGTTTGGGGCAGCAGCACAAACCAAAGCTGAACTGCAGGTACAGCAGATAGCAGGTCACAGTCTAAGGATAAGGGGTTGGCCATTTAGGACTGAGATGAGGAGAAAGTTCTTCACCCTGATAGTGGGGAGCCTCTGGAATTCTCTGGCTGGCCAGCATTTATTGCCTGTCCCTAATTGCTCTTGAGAAGGTGGTGCTGAGCTACCTTCTTCAACCATTGCAATCCATGTGCTGTAGGTAGGCACAATACCAGGACGGCATTCCAGGATTTTGTCCCAGCAACACCAAAGGAACGGTGATGTATTTTCAAGTCAGGACAGTGAGTGGCTTGGAGGAGAACTTGCAGGTGGTGGTGTTCCCATGTATCTGCTGTCCTTGTCATTCTACAAGGAAATGGTTACGGGTTTGGAAGGTGCTGTCCTCTCTTGACTATAATTAAATTTCTTGTGTAGGTTTTCTTGTACTGTGTGGGACTTTTGAAATCACCTACAACTTGGATCTACTTGAATAACAGAAATTACCTGGAAGCGATTCTGATAACTAAGTTATAATACTTTTTGAGGGGAACTTTTAAGCTTTAAAGGGTTCTTTAAGTTGCATTCCTAATTGCCTGGTGTATAGTTTTCCTTCTTTTATGTGAAGTAAGTATCATTGATAAAGCCAGCATTTGTTACCCATCCTTAATTGCCCCTTTAATGGGGTGGCTTACTAGGGCCATTTCAAAAGACTGTTAAGAGTCAACCCATTGTGGTGGATCTGGACTTGTGTAGGCCAGACCTACAGCAGATTTTCTTCCTTAAAAGGGACATTAGCGAACTGATGGGGTTTTATGACAATGTTTGAAACACAAACAGATTAGTCACGAACTTACTGAATGGCAGAGAAGGCTTGAAGACTCGAACAGCCTATCTTCTGTCCCTAATTTGTAGGTTCGTATGGGTTTTGTGGGCGCCATTACTAAGAATAGCTCTCAATTCCACATTTATTCATTAAACTTCACCAGCAGCAGTGGTGAGGATTGAACCAGAGTCCTCACACCATGAGGCTGGGCTTTGGGATTATTGCATCGGTGACATTATCTCTAACGCCACCATCTCTTCCGCTTGTAACACTGTCTTGCAGAGTACATAATTTCAGCCTCCCACTCCATAGGCCCACAGGAATCTAAGATGCAATGGTGCAAGGTCACTCATCATACTCACCTAAAAGTGCATCAAAATGGAAAAACTAATTCTATTAGTTTCAGCAGCTTTACTGACAATACTTTTGTTTAGGATAAGGTGGTATTCTTATTTCTGAAAACCTGTTAGCAGCAACCAAAGCTGAACTGCTGATACGGCAGATAGCAGGTCACAGTATAAGGATAAGGGGTTGGCCATTTAAGACTGAGATGAGGAGAAAGTTCTTTACCCAGAGAGTGGGGAGCCTCTGGAATTCTCTGCCACACAAAGCGGTTGAGACCCAACACACTGAATCTTTACCAGGTCAAAAATCACACGACACTATGTTATAGTCCAACAGGTTTATTTGAAAACACAAGCTTTCAGAGTCTCATTCGTTCTTTGGGTGGAATGCGACTCTGAAAACTTTTATTACCTGCTGGACTATAACCTGGCATCGTGTGATTTTTGATCTTGTTCAACCCCAGTCCAACACTGGCACCTCCACATCTTGAATCTTTACAAGAAGCAGTTAGATATAGTTCTTAGGGCTGAAGGGATTAAAAGGTATGGAGAGAAAGTGGGAACAGGGGACTGGATTGGTCGATTAGCCATAATCATATTGAATGGGGGAAAGCAGGCTCGAAGGGCTGAATGGCCTACTCCTATTTGCTGTGCTTCGATATCCCTAACCAAGACGCCTCAGGAAAAAGACAGTCAAGTTCTGTGAATCAGTGAAAATATTTAGGTATTCATAGAATCCCTACAGTGTGGAAACAGGCCTTTCGGCCCAACAAGTCCACACCGACCCTTGGAGCGTCCCACCCAGACACATTCCCCTATAACCCACCTAACCTACACATCCCTGAACACTATGGGCAATTTAGCATGGCCAATCCACCTAGCCTGCACATCTCAGGACTGCAGGAGGAAACTGGAGGAAACACACACAGACACGGGGCGAATGTGCAAACTCCACACAGATAATCGCCCGAGGGTGGGATCCAATCCGGGCCCCTGGTGCTGTGAGGCAGGGGTGCTAACCACTGACCACTGTGCCATGTGTAGATTGATGACATGCAGATGTTCACACTGGTGTGAGCTTCTTCACCAACCCCAGCCAACTCTGTGCCTGATGCCAATAAATCATTTCCTGGCCAGCTTCTGTTTTAGTTCAGTACAAATATTTCCCTATGATTAGGGTG